TGGTAAGGATGTGGACTTGACCCCTAAGAGCAGTGGAAAGCCCACGTTTTAGTAGGGAGGCACGTGATTTGATCTGTTGATGATTATGGGACTAAGGGATTAGTGGGGTGAGGGCTGTGGAGAAGTGAGGAGGCAAATATAGGACAGTCTAGGAGAGATGGATGGGGACAGTGAAGACAGAGAGAAGCCAGCGTCCGTTGTAGATTTTGGGGGTAGAGCCTTCAGCACTTGGTAATCAAATGGATGTGGGGGTGTGAGGAGGGGAGGGCAGTTTCCTGGTCTCTGGCTTGAGTGACTCTTGAATCCATGGGAATTGTTGAGATCACCTAGGGAGGAAATACAGGGTAAGAAGACACACGGCCCTGTGTCAGAAACCCCAGGAACTGCAGCATTTCAAGCTTTTTCAGGAGGAGGATTTGGTGAAGAAAGCAGAAAATGGTACTGTAAATCCACCCACATGCTCATGTCTCCGGACATCGTCCTTCATTCTTCCCTTTCCACACCGCTTGCATCCAGGCTTTCAGTAAGTCCTGCTGGCTCCTCCTCCAAAGAAATTCCATTTTGCTTCAACATTTACCACCCTCGACCGAGCAACCATCTTCTCATCCCACACACAGCGGTTCCTATCAGGTCTTCCCCTCCCACCCACTCCTTCATAGTCCAGTTTCTACGACCGCTGCAGTGAGTGCTTACAATGCAAATCGGATGAGGTTGCTCTGCTGCCTAAATGTCACCAGAGGATTCCATTGTGGAATAAAATCCAAGCCCCTTACTGTGGCCCTTGGACCCTAATGAGATGTCTTCCCCCTGCACCTCTGAGCTCAGCTCCTGCCCCCTCCCTGTCAGCCGTCATTCTCCAGCTGTGCTGACCTGTCACTGTGTACTTCTGGCTCATCTCTGTCCTGGAGCTGTGGCACCTGCTCTGCCCTCCATGTGGAATTCTCTTACCCAGCATTTCAGGCCAGCGACTTCTTGTCGTTTGGTTCCCAGCTCAGATGTCACCCTCCCAGGGAGGCTTTCCCTGACCCCCGGTGTGCTCCCTCCCCTCCTCTCCCCTCCAGTGCCATCACACTATTTTGTTTCTTTCATAGCGCATATTATTATCTGAAATCACTGTGAGTATTCATTTCCATCTCTCATATGCGAGCTCCATGGAGCAGGGATCTTGTCTCTCTGGCAGCTGTAGTCTCAGTGCCTACCACAGGGCCTGCCCCATGAGAGGCAATGATAAAAATAGATTTGTGTCATGAATGGATGGTGCACAAGTATTTTTGGCATAGAACCTGCCTGACATGAGCATGCCAATTTGAGTCCTTCCTATTCTGTAACGGATAATTTAGCATGATGGTTCAGAGGTTAAGCTCTGCAATTAGACTACCCATGGGTAAAGCCTGGATCTACTGCTTCCTAATTTTGCCTGACCTTGGGCAAGTTAATTACCTCATAAGCCTTAGTTTCTTCATTTGGAAAGTGGTAGTAACAGTAATGGTTTCCTACCAAGTAGGGTTGTTTGAGAGTTCAAGGAGGTAATGTGTATAAATGCCTAGCACAGTGCTTAACTTAATATTTAAGTGGTGAGTATCACCTCACCATTAGGTTGTATAGTTCTCATTGAGAACTACTGAGCCCTGAGCATCAGGCCTGGGCTGTGTCTTTTGGGAGCACAGAAAAGCTAGTTGTCTGGGCTTGGAATTGAGGACAGTAGACCTCAGTGTTCACAGAGAAGGGATATGAGGTAGAGGGAGAGAGAGAGTGTGTGTGTGTTTGGGGAACAGGATGGGTATTAGAGTGAGACTTTTTGTCTTTGAGTCATCCTACAAACTGTGTTGCTTGTGCCCAAGATAATTTTAGAGAGAACAAGTCATCTCAGATGTGGTAGACTGACTCAACCCTGGGACTTTCTGTTTTTCTTTCCCTTTATTCTTAAGGTTCTGTCTGAACTCTGGAACAAGGGAGAAGTTTATTTTAATCGCTTCTCTTTGACCTTGAAAATCACTGGCCAGCATGAAGTTTACTAAGATCTTTTTAAACTGGGCAATAATATTCACTGAAGATCAGGACTAGTTCTCTCAGCATGGACCCTTGGCAGCGAAGGGAAATAAATTCCAGCAGCTTTACTAGATCTTTGGGTAATTTAATTCTTCTGAGACTGGGTGTCCTTAAACATGAACTGGGGGTGAGCCAAGTGTCGGGGAGACAGCAAAGAATACCTTAGGGCAGACAGTCATCAGGTTGTGTGAGATTGCTACAACACGTAGCATCTCTTGAGCCCTCAGTTTCCCCTTCATCTCAGAGAATTTCCTTAGAATAGAAATAACTGGAAGTCCTTTTGGGTTGTAGTCTAGTAATTTCTCACCTACTGTCTTTGTGAATTGCCCCATCCCCTTTTGACATGAAGATGTACCACCTCTGTCCATTTCTTCCTTCCTCTTGTCACTGGATGGCTTCCTTCTAATTTCTGATTCTTAAAGCATCTGTGCAAACAAAAACTCATCATTAATTTCCACTGACTTTTACCCACTTACCCCTTCTCCCTCCACCCTTGGAATCCAAGCATCTCCCCTGGAATTACAGTTCCCCATCAGTAGAAGACCTGAGTAAATACGTTTTGCCATCTTCATTCAATGATCTATGCAGCCATTAAAAAAAAAAAAAGAGCAGGGCAGATCATCTGTCTATGTATATAATGATAGGAAATGATATGAAAGCTATCTCTATGTAGAAAGGAAAGCTAGGCAGAGAGTGGTGGATATAATAGGCTAACATTTGTGGGGGAAAATATCCAGTTAAAATGGACACACGCATACATATGTATAATTGGATCTGCTTAGAATATTTATGGAATGATACACAAGACTTATCACTATAGTGGTCTCTGGTTCAGGAGCTAAGTGGTTGAGGAACAAAGGTGGGAGGGAGATGTTTTGCTGTAAATCCTCTAGTACCTATTACTTGTGTACCCTACACATATGTTTCCTAAAAGTCAACTCATTCATTTGAGATAGATAGATATGATAAAGAGAAAAAGGTAAAAACCTTGAGAATTAAAAAGCAATTGAAACAGGAATAATTTTCCCATTTCGTGGTACTTTGACACTTCATGCCATACTCTTTGCTACCTAAGAACATCTCAGAATCATCAGTGAGGGTGTAAAGTGATTAGAAATGAGAAAATGACATTGCTGACCTGGTTCAGGAGCAGGGCACCTCCAGCCATGTCACTTCAAACTGTGTTTTCTGATCTGCGTTTTGCAGAACGGACTCGTGGCTGTCCCCTCACCTCGGTCCCTCCAGGACACTGCTCAGCCTTGTGGTACTCCAGTGGCTGTTCTTGTTATGTTGATGTTGACCTTCTCTTCTTTGGTCACCCCCAGGCAGTTTTCTTCTCAAATCACTGACAGGATTAATCAGACCAGTCTTTCTCCATATTTGTAAAAACTCTACTCACCTTCAGGAAATTACATTTCTCCATAAATGTCAACTCCTGTGCTATTAGAAATCCCCTTTATTATAGGCAAGAACCTCTCTGACTTCATTGTCAAATTTTTAAGGCATCAGAAAGCTGAAGTCTTCCCCTGAAGGTAGGTTGTGGAACTGTGATTCTATCACAAACCAAAATGGTCTTTTTATGTGAGCTGACCAGTACCATGACTGTATGATCTGACATTTGGAGTGCAGCATCTTCATTGATTGGTTATTGGTATATTTTAGGAACTTGCAAATTAAATCTGGTTTCTCAGCCTTGGCACAATTGACATTGTAAGCCCTAGTGATTCTTTGTTGTAAGAGACCGTTCTGTGCATTGTAGGATGTTTAGCATCATTCCTGGCCTCTATCCCGTAGATGTCAGTAGCATTTCCACATTGTGACAACCAAAAGTGTCTCCAGATATTGCCAGATGTCCCCAGGAGCACAAAATCACTCCCGGTTGAGAACCAGTACCTTACGCTATGCCCTGTGTGTGAGGCTACAGCCAGAATATTATGCCTGCCTCTGTGAAAAACGCATTCTGTTTCTCTGCACTCACACGGCAATTCTGCAACCACATGTGGGGGCAGGAGAAGAGCTCCCCATACTCTAAGCAGTTCTCTAACTCTCCAAACACCAGCTGGGTGTCCCGCAGTTTAATTCAATTCTGACACTATCTGTCTACCTGGAGTTAGCATCAAATCCCACACATTAAGGGTACATGTTTTTGTTTGAACATCTGTTTTCAGTTATTTTGGGTACAAACCCAGGAGTGGCATTGCTGTGCCGTATGATAATTCCATCTGACTTATTGAGATACTGCTAAACTTTTTCACAGCACTTCACCATTTTAAATTTCCACCAGCAGTGCATGAGGGTTCATTTCTCCACATGCTCACCAATACTTACGTTGGTTTGTTTTGTTTTTTCGCTAGTAAGTGTGAAGTGGTGTCTCCTTGTGGCCTTGATTTGGGTTTCCCTAATGACTAATGAGGTTAAGCATTTTTTGCATGTGCATGTTGGCTGTTTGTCTATCTTCTTTGGAATGCCCTTCATCTACGTGCTTCCTCTCTTAGCAGTGTAATTTTGAGTGAATGCTTTTCTCTCTCTCTCTTTTTTTTTTTTTTTTTTACCATAATCTGCCTTGTTTGTAAAATGGGGCTAATACACTCTTCAAGAGAGAGATTGGTTTTTGGAAATAAATGCATTGCTCAAATCTTTGTTAACATAATTTTGAAATTTTCTCTTTTTTATCTTCATGCTATTGTCCTTTATTTTATAATGCAGAATGTATACATTAGGCTTATGTTGTAAAGTGGCAAATTTAATTTAGTTTTAATTCTCTGAATTTTGACATCTCCAAGTCTAAGCCATCATTGTATACTGTGAATTTTTAGATTTAAATATATTTTAAAGTTAGTTTATTTCTTAGCTAATTTAACCCTTAGGCAAGTGTTTGACTTTTTGATATTTTAGAGTAAGTGGGTGAATGTGGAAAGTAGTTTTCATTACTCTATTTGTTTCCCTTTCAGAAAAAGTTGCCTTTGACAACACTGGCTCAGTGTTTGATGGAGGGGTCAGCTATCCTGGGAGATGACACACTTCTTGGGTAAGCCAAATCTAGGAAAGTCCCCAGCCACAAAAAGGGGATTATCAGTCCTCAGGGAAGCACTGAGGACACTTGAATTCTGGCTCAGGACTTGAGTGGGGAAGAAGAAAATGTTACCAGTGAGAAATCAAAACCCTCCACTCCAAAGTTCCATTGTCTGTGCAGCCAGACAAGTCCCAAGTGGAGAAATTAACATAAAATTGGCGAAGGAAGATTGAAATCCCTAGGGCTCCAGCAGAAGCAAATACACAACCTCTCAATGTCAGAAGTCATCACTTGTGAGATTTCCCAGAAGAACACCCCTTGCTGATTTTGAGCTTACCATAAAACAAACTAAAAATAGAATTCTGATGAGAGAGCATCAGCAGACACAGTCAGTCTGAGAATCTGTAACCTGAGGTCTAAAAACAATAGAGCAGTATGAAAGAAAATATCAAAGAGTGGTTTTAAATGAAATTAAAAAATTAATGACAATAAATTTTTGACAAAAGAATCAAACAATATGAAAAAAGAATGGGCAAAATTGAAGCAAAACCAAATAGGACTTTTAAAAGTAAAAATTGTACAGAAAATTAAAAAACTTAGTTGAAGTGCACTGGAGATTGTGCTCAAAGAGAGAACTGGCGAACCTGAAAACAGATCTGGAGCTGCCATGTAGAATGTGCAGTGTGCAGTACACGCAATAAGGGTGTGGCGTTATTATACTGGGAGACATGGGACAGCATGCTGGTGTGTGACACTCTGTCTAGTGGGAGCTCCTGAAGAAGAAAACAGGAGGAAGGAGAAGTTTGTAGGTGATGTTTTCTCTTCCAGGTTTGAAGAAAAACATAAGTCTTTAGATTTAAGAAGCTTAAGAAGTTCTAATTGAGATCAACAAAAAATCCATCCCTAGACATAGTGTAATAAAACTACAAGTTATCAACAGGAAAGAGAGAAATTTGAAAACAACCAGAGGAAAAAAAAGATAATTACCTAAAAAGAGCAGTTAAACTGATAACAAGCTATTTATTCATCAGCCAAATAAATACCAGGAGATAATAGAGGAATATCTTTAAGTATTGAGCAAAAATACAGGAAACCTAGAATTCTGTGATCAACTAAATCATTGTTCAAGAATAAGAGGGAAATAAAGATAAGTTACTACTTGCATATTCTCACTGAAAGGTCTAGTGAAGCCTGTGTGAAATAGATTATGTCCAGAAGAAAGACGTGCAGGTAGCAAGGTAGAATAAAAACATTAGTTCATGTATGTAGGGGAGTGAAAAAAAAATCTTTGTCCTGCTAACTGTATGAGGTTCATTGGCTGAGGCCCTGCTAATTAGATGGACTAAAGACAGATTAACTAGAGAAAAGTAGAGAAAAGCATACAAATTTTATCAACATATGCAGCATATGCACATGGGAGCACTTGGTCATGAGTAACCCAGAGGAGTTTGTAAAGCACCTTAACAAAAACATAGTAATTTTTAGAGAAGTAACAAGACAAAGGAAAAGGACTTAGAGTGTCTAGGGTGGCAGACTGTGGGAAAATGAATACGGGGGAGCTAATGGAAGATAAGGGCGAGTGAGTGAACTTTGTTATGTGGGTTCCTCTTATGCTGACTCTGGGCTGATAAGGGTCTACAGTTGCCTCTGGTGATGGGCATCTGTCCTTCCTGGTAGAGAGGGGAAAGGGGACACCTTTAGGGGACACCTTTACAAATTTATGTCCTGCTTTTAGGCAGCTAGGGAGAGGGTGGACAAGAGTTTTTGTGTCTGCGTCTCAACTGCCTTTAGCTCAAAATAGTCCTCATGCAAAAGTGGCATATTTGGGGGAGATATTTTTGGGGAGAATCAATGTTATAAGATATTGTATTGTTTGAAAGGAGGATAAAGTTATTGATATTACATTTAAATTTAATGCCAAATGTGCATGTTAAAAAAGTAAAAGTAACTACAAAAAGAATAAAACCTAGAATGTATACAACTTCCAAACTAGTAAAAGGATGAAAAGGGAAATAAACAAACAAACAAAAAAACCCATAGAAGGGACTAAAAGCAAAAAGTAAGCAAAGGAAAAGCATAATAAATAGAAATAGAAAAGAAGGTGATAGCAATTACTGCATATAGATATGCAGCCATTAGAGATGTAAGTGGAATAAACTGTTTAAAGTATAGAGAATCTCAGGTGGATGAACATGAGATCTTGTGTGGAATTTCCAAGAGAAATTCCTAAAACAGTGACACAGCAAGGTTGGACGTAATGATGACAGACTGAAATACGTCTGCTTTGTCCCCTTCCAAAATCCGCTAAAATGATAGAAAAGGGATTTTTTTTTTCCCCTCAAAAGACATAAACTCACAAAGGCAGGAAAAACAGGAGAAAAGACAACAGCAGCATAATTTTGTGAGCTATAAAGCATATGAATGAATGGGAACTGACTTGGCAAGTCCTGGAAAGCTGACGCCCAAGCCAGAAGGGGGATATGCAGAGAGCTGATATAATTTGTACCGTGAAATACTTACAGTGCTCAGGAATTGGTGGCACCAGGGATCTCTGAAGTACTGGGTCTTTGGAGGGGAGGTGGGTGACTAAAATAATGAATGTGGGTTAAAAGCATTTCAAGCGCTACTTGGATCAATAAAACCTTATCCCTATCCACACCTCTAGGAGAGATTCATTCCCTGCACCCCCACCCCAGCGGAAGTCTAGAGCTTTATTCTCTTGAGGTTGTAAAACAGAGCATCTCTAGAGTGGGGCCTTGAGCACAGTGGAGTTAAGGGTACCATTCAGGAAAGAAGAGGATTAAGTGATCCAATGCATACCCGGTGCTGAGACTCCTTAGACTCCTTAGTCCCCCACCCACGTGGCCCCCAGGCCTTTCCCCTCCAGGCAGGGTAAATTAGATCAATGGAAACTCCCATTACTAGTGAAATTTTCACACATGGAAAAAGAGACTGCACACAATTATTTACTGCAGCACTGCATCTGATAGCCCAAAACTCTTGATGATGGGAAAGCTTAATAAATGGTGGTACATGTCGATCCTTGATCAATGCACGGGTTGGGGGTGCCAACCCCCCACTCAGTCAGAAATCCATATATTAAGTTATCAAAAATCAATATCAAAAGTTATCATATAACTTTTGACTGCCCCAGAACTTAACTACTTACAGCCTACTGTCGACCAGAAGCCTTACTGATAGTCGGTTAACACATACTTTATATTATGTATTATAATAAATTTAGCCAGAGAAAAGAAAATGTGGCCAATGGTGCCATGTACAGTCTATAAATGTTTGCGTGTGTAAGTTTTGATAAATTTTAACTTTTGTAACATTTGTATGTATTTTATGGTAGTAAATGGTAAAGTAGACTAACATCTACATATTTCTATACATTCATGACATGCCTGTTTCTTAATTTTATTTATTTCTGGGCTACGTGGTTCATCTGCGAGTTTTATCAAATTGTCACACATCTCCAAAAGATTTTCTAATATATTTATTGAAAAAAATCTACCTATATAAGTGGACCTGCGCAGTTCAAACTTGTGTGTTCAAGGGTCAACTGTATATTCTTAGAATGGGATTCCGTGTAGTGGATCTAACTCTGCATGTATCAGCGTGGATAAGCCCCAAACATAATGATAATGCAAATAGTATAACCATATGTTCAGTGTAAAACCGTTGTTGCAAATGTTTTTAACTAAGCAAAGAAATTGTATTATATATTGCATGTGAATACATACATATGAATAAAAGTGTAAAATTATGGACAGGAGAGGAGTATATACATTGACTTCAGAATAAGAGCTCTCCTCTTACTTTGCTGATTTGCAAAAACATTTTACATGAATTTCAGTTAACACGGTACCATGCAAAGGGAGTATGGGCTGTTTCCCACTCCCTTTGGGGAATTGACATCTTTGAAATAGTGTGTCCTCTCATCTAGGAAGATGACCACTCAGGTCTTCTGTCATTTGTCATCATTAACCAACTTTTCAATGGTTTTTCCTACTTTTTCCATTGGATAATTGTCCACCCATCCTGTAATAAGTAAGTTTTCATGGCATAGGAGTAAGCGTTTTCTTTCTATTAGGACCTATTAAAATTGAATTTTGGGTATGTGTTTGAAGGTATTGGTTTGTTAAAGGATCGATTTTAGCTAGTTTTTCCAGTGCTCCCAGGGGAGATAGAAGCATCCAGCTCTTTTTAGGCTTGTGATTTTTGGCATGTGTGAGTCTGTTTTTTCCACATCTCTTGTGTTTCTCCACCTGTCCTCTTTGGCCCTAAGCACGCTGTGAATACTCAGCACCATTTGGAAGAATTGACCATTTCAGAAATGAAATGCTGACTCCTGAAAGTTTACTGAGCTGGGGATGGCGAGAGGTTCGCTCAGGTGAAATTCTGTCTTGGAGGGTGTTCAGTATGTTTTTCTCGTCCATTGCAGGAAGATGCTGAAACTCTGTGGGGAGACAGAGGACAAGCTGGCTCAGGAGCTGATACACTTTGAATTGCAGGTGGAGAGGGATGTGATTGAGCCCCTGTTTTTGCTGGCTGAGGTGAGCATCAGGAATGAGGCCAGGCCAGGGTGAGCAGGGGACACGAACAGGAGCCCCCTTGGTCATTCTGCTTCCAGCCTTATTATCCTTTCAGTACCTCACTCTACTCCCTGACATTGTTTTCACCAGGAATTATTACTATGCAACCATATGGTCAAGATCCCCAAATAGGGCAGCCCTTTGCCCACCTGTACTCTTCTGTGCTGGCATCCTACAGGTCCAGGTGCAAAGCCAGCAGCATTACCTTCTTCCCCACCCAGAGTCTTGAGTCCATCACCCTGTGTCCCCACCCATCTCAAGTCATCAGTGAAATGAACAGCAGACTCCCAGCCCTCCTTTACAAGGAGACTGAAGACTTGTGTCCAAGAGACTGTAAGGCCTCTTGTGGTTTATATTTATATAGGTCTCTTCTCTTTGGACTTTAAAGGACACTATATTATACTACTTTATTAAAGAGTTTTTATTTGCCTTGACCCCAGACCTCTCCCAATTGCCTTTTGATTGGTCATATAAAAGCTCTCCAGAGCTACCCTCTTGAACTCCCTGCAATGATGGAAATGTTCTACATCTGCACAGTTTGGTAGCCACTATGTGGTTATTGAGCACTGGAAATATGGTTAGTGTGACTCAGGAATTCAGGGTTTTTTAAAAACTTTTTTATTTAATTCAGTTTTCATTTAAATTTGGAATGACTTAGCCACACGTAGCCAGAGGCTACTGTATTAACAGCACCATCCTAGACCACATCTGGTTTCCTCTCTGTACCACCTCCAGCACCTACACATCCCCTGGCACTCTTTCTGGGACAGATGCATGGGTAAACAATTACTTACATGCCTAAAAGTATTCAAGGAGAAAATCCTAGGTATAGTGCTTTGCCATAGACCAGCTCTGGGCTTCTCAGATTCCGTCCTGCTGCAGGTCATCCCATAGTCTAGAGCATTCAGGAGAGGCCCATTGCTCTTCATCAGGGTGGTGTGGGGCTTGGTCCTAAGCCTGAAGCTAAACCAAGGAGCAAGTCTGACCCGGGTGCTGAGACTCACTTGGGGTGGCTCTATAAGTACCACGTGGCTCTCCAGCTTTGCCTCGGGCTCGAGGGTGGCTCAGGTTGCCTCCAGAGAGTTGCACGTCTCCTTCCTGCTAGAAGTTGCTACTCTCAGTGTATTACTCATGCGTGCTCAGAAGAGTGAACAGAAAGCACTTCATAGAACACTGGATTTTCCTCACGTTTTTTCTTTATATAAAAACCACAGCCTGAGATGATTTTGGTTCAATTTACGGCCAATTTTCCTTTTTAATTCTCACATCCTGCCCTACTTTTGCTGGGCCTAGAACCAAAATCATGCACTGGAATGTTCAGTGAAGTTATTTTTAGAAAGAAAAATATAAAAAGAGTATCTACATACAACCAATATGGAAGAACTCAGCCGAGAAAAGCCGTGGTGGCCGTGTTGATTCATTATTTACTTTGGAAAAAATCTCCCCTTATTTCTATAAATATAAAAATTTGCACCCTTTATTGCTATAAATATAAAATCTGTATCCTCACTGCATTCCTCATAGCAGCCCAGGTCTCCTGAGACCCACGCTCTTCATCCCTGAGCTGTGCGTTCTGAGTCTGGTCTGTGTGTCACATCTTAATGCCGGGCTTCCTCCATTTCTCCCCACTTTTGGCCCTTGTGGAAGTACAGAGAGAGGTGATTGAGCCCCTGTTTGATGGGGGGCCTGGCAAGTGTCCAGAGAAGCAACAAGAGAGTTTAGCTCAGGAAAAGGAATCAAGAATTTTATCTGATGTTGGTCAAAGGGTACAAAGTTTTGTTTATGCAAGATGAGTAAATTCTGAAGACCCAATGTAGTGACTAGTCAACAAGGCTGTGTTGTATACTTGAAATTTGCTAAGAGAGGAGATCATAAGTGTTCTCAGCACAAAAAGAAAATGGTAACTGTGAAAATGGTAACTATGTCAATCAGCTCGAGTGTGGTAATCATTTCACAATGTGTGCATATCAAAACATCACATTGTACACCTAAAACATGCACAATTTTTATGTGTCAATTATACCTCAATAAAGTGGAGGGAAGAAAGGATTTCATTTGAAAATAAGGATTGGGAGATCTCTAGCGAACTTCTTGGGTGACTGTCAATAGTTTTTAAAGAATTATTCTAAAGAATAGTTCTTAAATAATTTATCTTGAGGATCAGTTTGGTTGTGTCTTTTATCTCCTGTAACCACAGGTGGAAATCCCCAATATTCAAAAGCAGAGGAAACATTTAGCAAAGTTGGTGCTGGACATGGATTCTTCACGAACCAGGTAGAGTTTCTTTGCTTCCTTTTTGCTGCTTTAAAGGAACAGTGATTGTATTTGAGAGTGGGGGGTTGTGTGGGGTGGGTGGGTTTTCATCACCAAGTTGCACTTAACACCAACTACGTGCCAGGCACTGGAGGTAATAGCAGTGAACCAGAGGGACTGGGTCCCTGCACTCATGGAGGCTGCGGTCGAGTTTTGGAGATAGACACTAGGCAGGTGAACAAAGACGGTGATTTCAGGCAGCCATAGTCGTATAAAGAAAATAACACATGGTGATTTGGGAAGAGACTGAAGGAGAAAGGGAGCAATGACATTGGTAGGGGAAAACAGAGAAGCCTTTTTTGAGGCGGTATCACTTGATATGAGTCTTAAACAATGAGAAGGAGGTAGCCATGCAAAGATCTGGTGTAAACTGTCTGCAGCAGCAGGAATAGCAAATGCAGGGACCCTCAGTTGCAGTAGGCTTGGCATGTGCAAGGCACAGAAAGAAGCCTGGCCTGGCTGCGGTGGCAGGAACAACCGGAAGAGAAGTAGGAGATGAGATCCAAGAGGTAAGACAATGATGTGTCGCATCTGTGACAGGGGGAGAATTTCTAATTTCCTGCAGCTCCTGGTGTAGATTTCTCCTTTCTGCAGCCATTCTCTAAGCCTGAGACCCTTCCGACAGCAGTAAAGTTCCTACAGTGCTGTTTTTCTGTACCTGTCTCCCAAAGTCCACCAGAAAATCCCTGTGGTAGCAGGGGAGAGCCAGAGGCCCTGAGGTGACTGTGCTGTCACGTGGGGATTGTGCATATGTGCCCTTTATTTTTTACAGTGAGGTGTGTGTGTGTATGTGTGCACACTGAAAGAGAGTGCGCCCATGAATACTGATACAGAAGGAACCATTTGGTTCCACCTGAGGTCTTTTGTTAGTCAGTTTTAATAATCTTTGCATCTTGTTTCAATTTTCTTGAAATTAAAAAACAAAAACAATATGCTTGGGCAGAGAGATATAGGGTAAAGAGTCCTGCAGCAGGAGTCAGAAGGTCAGGTTCCAAGATCCAGCCAGGTCAGCTATGTTGTAGACCTGAGACCTCAGTCAAGTCACTTAATCTCCCAGAGTATTGGTTTCCCCACCAGTCCACAGGTAGTAACAACATTTGTGAGTTGGGCTGAGGTGGTTGTTCTGAATATCACATGAGAGCATGTATATTTCATCCCTTCTCTAGTGCTTCTCAAAAAGAAGCTGATACTATAACTAGTTGGTTCACTGGAATGCAGCATCTGGATAATAAAAGGTATAGGGCAGTCCCCCAAGACCAGAAATAAAACAGGTTAAATCAGAAGATAAACAAGAGTTTCTTTTATTAACTTAGTGTTTCCCAAACCTCAGTCCATCTAAGTGGTTTTTGCCATCTGTGCCTGTATGTAAGAGTTGATTGCTTTTTTTTTTTGGCAGCTTGCTGGTACAAAGTTGATTACTTTTTAAAGTAAATCTATTTTTAAAAGAAATCGTATAGCACCATCATTAATTAGAAATCAGTTCCCTTTGCTACAAATATTAGGTAAGCATAAAAGTGAGTGGTTGAAAGCAAAGTCGATGTTATTGAATTTTAGATCCTGTTGGCTGTGAAAGGCTGTCATCCCGAAACTAACATTCCTTTGTTAAAAAGGAAGAGGAGGAGGTGTTGGAGAGGTGTTAAAACTATTCTGACACCAATCTGAGGCTTACTTGGAGGAAAAGAGAAAAAAAAAATGGGGAGTATCGATTTACTGTTACTACTATGTTCCCGCATGCATAAAATTGCA